TATATATATTTTTTTTTCTCAATGATAAGTAGTGTTATTTTGTAATGGAATGGGCCACAAAAGGAGAACCGCTTTTTAAGGGTAGCTTCACACCCACTGTGGTTTCAGCTGCTTTGTGCTTTAAACATGCTTTACATATAGTAACCTTCATTCCAATTAAAAGCTAGTTATGCTGGAAACTGCACTAAGGCAACATACAAGACTGTCTGTAACGTCCTGCACCAAAATGCAGAGTCGTGAAATGGCACTAAGTGATCATAGGAAAAAAAAAAAACACAAACACAACCAGCAGGAAAGAGCTCATTACCCTGAACAATTTAATTTGGATTCCAGAAGATATGAGCCCTTCCCAAAATAATAACATCTGAAATTTGCAGAGAACAGTATTTGTGCATTGAACTGGAAAGTGTGACCATTGATTCCATGAAGTTTCTTGCAAATAACACAAGACCCCAGTGTTTGCCAGCTAAGGCTATATGGGGGTCAGATTACCTGGCTGCATGTAGGGAAGAAAACCAAAACACACAATCACTAACATTTAATATATGCATTACAGCTGAACTGCAGGCAGATATAGAAAACAAAAATGAACGCAGCTCTGTAACTTTTAATACATCATTGAATGTATTTTGTGTTAATGTACGCAGTTGTAAGTACCTAAACCTAACTTGGCAGCAGTAGATATGACTAATTATATATATATATATATTTTTTTAATGCACCATGTACCCACCTTTGCACAGACAGGACACACCAGCTTAGACTTATACTGGCCCTGGAAAAGGTCGACAACAAAGGAGTCATTCCTCATCTTATGTCGCAGCCATGCCTCATCAGCAACCTCCTGCCGGGAAACAACGCAACAAGTTCAACATCACCAGGAAAATTGCTGGGAGTAAAAGGAAACTACTAACAAAAATACATTAGCAGGTTCTTACAAACATTTAATAAAATAGTAAGCTCTCCAGTCCCTAGCTTCTTACGGTTCCTTTTCACCTTAGTTTTGGGATCTGCATCCCACAATCTAGGATCGTGCCACAGCGTTTGATGCACCCTTCATTATATACATTAAAAGCGAACTATGGGGTAACCTTTTAATCCCATTGTTCTCTTCAGGGTAACGGGAGAACATATGCTAACCTCCTCCCGTGACCCAAAGCTCAGTATATAGCAAGCTATTGCCCGCTATATACGGAGAGCGCCGCAGCCGGGATGGATCCCAACAATTGCACACGTCGGCTCTGAGGATGAGTGTAAATCACTCACCTCATAGTTCTCCTTTAAATATAAAGCAGGGCGAATGGGATTCCTTTGTGCTGTATTGGAGAACTTAAAAGTTACCAAACGGATGCAAGGAACAGTTTTGTAGTTTAATGCGGCAGCATCCACCAAACATCTAAGATGTCAGTTTTAGGAGAACTGACCCAGTGTTAATAAAAGCCTGGACAGTACACGTGCCCACAAGAGTCTGTTTACTGCAATCCTAAGAAATGGACAATATAAGATTACCTATAGGTCACAAATTGGTTCTTAAATTAAGTCAGAAGCATTGGCTGTACCTCATCCGGCCTTCCGTCCGAGTCCACAGTCTCAGTGTATGGCTTGTTCTGAATCCTGTTCAGATCTTCATGAAGCCCATCCAGCAGGAAAGCCATGAACTCCTGAGCATCATGCTGGGCATACCCGGTGAACTGGCTGGCTTTGCTTGCAACAATCGCCTGCAGAAAGTATGTTATTAAAGGGCAGTCACATAAGCGCGATATTTGCCAAAGCAAAAAATGCATACTTATCCAAAAACATATTGTTAAAGCGAAATTCCAGGCACGTATAACAAACGCAATAACGTAGCTCTGTATTCAGACATCATTAAATGCAAGCAGTAGGGCCCTGTTCACACCTAGGTGGCATCGTTTTTGCGCGTTTGTACATGCGGGTTCAGCATGCTTTTTTTTGCACATTTATGCACACGTAAAGATGAACGTTTTGACTGGCAGCTCAAGAAACATTGCGGTCAATGGATAAATGCGCACAAAAATGTGCAGCATGCTTCTACCATGCGTTTCATGGCGTTTCCGTTGAAGTCCATGGGAGAAAACAAGCTTTAAAACGCTAAAACAAAAAGAAGCTCATGTACTTTTTTTTTTGCGTTTGGCTGGTGTGAACTAAGGTCATCGAAAATCATGGGATTTTTTTTTTTTTTGGGGCGTTTTAAAGCTTTTTCGACTGCTCAAAAACACATAGGTGTGAACCAGGCCTAAAAGTACCTGAATGTGACTTGCCATCAACTTCTTGCAGTGCCTGTACAACAGACTGGGAGCGAGAGAAGCAGCACAAGGAGCCAGTCACCTGTGCTGCAGTACTCATGTGCCAACAAGGGACATGCCGATAGAAGAGGTGAGCTCACTGCTCACTCTGTCATTGGACTGCTCTGTCCAATGACAGAGTGGAGGAGGGACAAGACTTGTAAGTGTTACCTAACTGCAGCAGAGTAAACTCTGTTCTCCTCCCCCACCAGACAGGGCTGCAGTGTGCCATTGTTTAGTTAGGATTTGAAAATGAAAGAGAGAAGCTGGTTGGTTACCATAGGCAACTGCTCCAGAATTTGTTTGCTCCAGTTTTTATAAACTCCCTTCTTTGTATTTAGCCTGGAGTTCAGATTAAGGTCGGTCCATGTTATCTGCACTTGGATTGTGCTGGCCGTTTATTCCAGCGGAGCCTGAAAACTAGACAAGGCAAACTGCCACCACATTCCGGTGGTGTGCACGACGGGTCTATAGAACTGAGTGATGTGAAATATGTCAGTTGTGACATTTCAATAAAGTGGTAAAAAAAAAAAAAAAAGTGATGCAGCTCAAAATCGAGCACATTGCCACTCTTCGGGGAGATTCACAACAGCAACTGTGCGATTGAACGCGGCTGCTGGTGTGAACATACCCTAAATGTCAAAAAAAAAAATAATAGGTATGCAAATTGGCATACAGAGGTTAGTTTGTTAAAAGGAGAATTTTACTCTTTAACATGCACAGTGTTAACAATCTTGAATACAGATGGGTTCATTATCAAACAGCTTTTACAAATGCAAAGTCACAGGCATCCAAAATTGCTTTGTGGAAATTCTGTTCTATTACCAATACAGAAAGAAATTAAAAATAACACTACAAACCTTATATCTGCTCTAACACGCCTCATTAAAAAAACATTAGTTAGGGAGACAAGATGCGGATACCTTGAGTTTAGATGGCTGGAAGGCGTGATGTGTGCCTTTCCAGAGCGCTCTTAACAACACAGCAAAGCTAACTGCAAGACGCCCGCCCGTTCCTAGAGGGTTGTTGCAGTTGATCTCTGACTCAAACGAATGATCTAGTAAGAAAAAGGATACAGAAATGATAAGCAGGTAAACTGCGATAAACAAAAATAAGTCTGAAATTAAAAAGGTGTATTTAATAGAGCAGGCACCCCAAAAAAAAAAAAGAGACCAATTAGTCAAGACAGAACTACACTGCATGGCCAAAGTATGTGGACGTCTCTCCAAACGACTGAGTTGAGGTTTTTCCAGTGAATGGTACTGGTAATGTTACAGCAGACATATTTAGACAACTGTGCATTTCCAACCTTGTGGTAACCATTTGGGGAAGATCCTTTTCTGTTCAGTATAACTGTGCCCCAGAGTACAAGCCAGCTCCATGAAGACATGGTTTGATGGAATCTGTGAGGAGGAACTTGAGTGACCCATTCAGAGCCCCCGACCTTAAACCTAATCAACGCCATTGGGATGAATTGGAACGCTGATTGCTAGCAGTAGATGTATACAGGAAAAAAAAAAAAAAAACCTTGAAAGTTTAATTCTACTTTTCCAGTGGAGGTTGTCATAGCCAGAAAGGGGAAGCCCTTGGTGTTGGATATGGATGTCCAACAAGCTCATATACGTGTGATGGTCAGGTGTCCACAACTTTTGGCCAGAGAGAGTATGCAGACTGCCATTGCTGACTTCTCCTTTAAAATAAAGGAGTCACTATATTACAAAATGTGACCCCCAATTCCAAATAGTAATTGGAATGCTCAACTTTCTATCAGGTGGTGAGCTAAATAGTCTTCCTCACTACAACCACTGCAGATATCTGACACTTTCACATAGCGGGTCAGACAGCGCTTCTCCCGGTAGGCACTGTGGTTTCTCCACGGCTACAGGACACTGTATTGAGGAAGTTGGTGGAAGGAATCATTTGTCCCGAGGGAGACCAGGTATCCTACACACCTTAGGCCCCGTGCCCACTGCGCGATATGCATATGGCGCGTTTGTCGCGCGATTTGCATATTGTGCGATATCGTGAGATTTGCCGCACGATATCGTGTTCAAGCTTGCATTGAGCAAGCTTGAATCGCGGCTAAATCCGCTCCAAAAAGGGTCCTGCTGTAGCGACACACGACCCGCGACAGCAGGACCCTTTGCCCCATTGGAATGCATTGGAGCGCGATATCGCGCGGTAATTTGCCACGCGATAAATCGCTCAATGTGAACGGGGCTTTAGATAGTGTCGGCTACCAGCGATCAAAGGAGCTCTTCATGACATCAAGGATTGGAGTCACCAGAAAGGCAATTATTTAATCTCTTCTTTTACAGGAGTGGCTGTTATTTTCTCTTTAGCGACAGAATTGCTTTTACATAGCTTGGCATATCAAGAAAATGTAACTTCATTTTTGTATTCTTCTGCTGTCGCCTAAAAACTATACTGGGATCCTCAATGATCATGTTTGTTCAAATTGCTTTTTTTCTTTTGCTTAAGCCGAAAGACTGTATATAGATGTTCCATCATAGGAAGCATTCACAAGGGTAATTCATTGTTCGCTATCCGGGAGTATAAACATCTAGCAGGATGCCATAAAGACATAAGGATGTTATATAATGTCGGAACATATTACTCCTTTATTTTCTCCTTTCCATGCCCTAGCTTTATACTTTTGTACAAGCTAGCTATGTGTGATTAAAGACTTGTGCTGTAAGGAAATGATGCTCTCATTGGACCAACCGGGTATAAAAGAGCGCCATAAAAAGTTCCTCACAAAAGCACATTTCTATCAATTAAATGAAAGAAAAGAAAAGGAAAGAAAAGGAAAGTAGTTACTAACCTTGGAAATAATCCCTAAGCTCACGTGTGTTGGAAAGAGACTGGATAACGCTGTTCATGAAGCAAGTGTTTCCCAGATTGACCAGACCGGTAAAACCTGGCAGGCAGACTCTCTTCTCCTCTTCCTCCTGTGCACTGTCGCTGCTTATAGCACTGTGTGTCATAGGAGGGACCATGCACGTTGGTTTGGGCTATGGACAATAAGAAATGCGCCATTAAACTTGCAGCCTATTTATATGTTAGGGTTGTTTTTCATTTAAATCTGTGCAGAAAACAACAAAACAGTTCATATCAAATACGGATATCTTTTTATGTGACTCATTCACACCCAACATGCACCCCGCTGCTGACCACTGGTCTATGGCATCTGCTTACTACTGCAGGCCAGGAGAGGGGGGAGCCAATAGGGAAGGATAAGATGTGGATATGTGTCTGTCTGTCCTTACACATTTCTGCAATATGCAGAAATTAAATGCATTTTCCTGTGTTTTATCACTAAGTACAGACAACCTCGGAGGACTGTGACAAATGCAAACATGTACAAAACTAGGGATGCACCGATACTAGTATCGGTCCAGAGTATTTGGGCGAGTACACGTACTCGCCCAAATGCTCCGATGCCTAGCCCGATACTTCCAGTATCAGGAAGCCGGCCAGTGCGTCATTACATGCTGCCCGGCTTCCTGATTGGTCGAGAAGCCAGGTCCATGCTCTCTCGTCACTTCTGCCAATCAGGAAGCCGGGCAGTGTGTAATGACGTGATGCCCGGCTTTCTGATTGGTCAGCAAGCTGGCTTCATGCTCCGTAGTCACCTCATAACGAGGGGGCATGGAGACGGCTTCCCGGGCAATCAGGTAGCTGGTTGCCGCGTCATTACACAGCACCAGGCTTCCTGATTGGCCAGAAAGCCGGCTCCATTCTTTCTCTTCACCTAGTGATGAGAAGCATGGGGATGGCCCACTTCCGGTACTCTGTATCGGGGAGTACCGAAAAAAAAAAAAGAATATCGGTACTCTTACTCGATACCAAAATACCGGTATCGGTGGATCCCTATACAAAACCCATAAGCAAGAGAGACGAGGGGAGCACTCTGCTTACCTGGCGATCACTGGTGCCAAGATGTGCCCGTCAATGTCACTGCTGCTGCTCCTTCTGATATGTTCATCTTGCAGAGGGCGCAGCAGAGAGTGTAGTGGTCTTTCAAAGCCAGCTCGATCTCCCGAAAACCGCTCGCTGGGCCAAAACCGGAAGCATCAGTGAGACCCCGTCCTCTGCGTTGCAGTGACCGGAAGTGCAAAGTTTCAAGACTTACTAGTAGTTCTGCAACCTCCCCTCCCAGAAGACATCACTTGGCGTTGGGTCCAGAGACTGGAACTCTGCACACAATGCCAGCAGAGCCCCAAAGCAAATATACCTAAGCAAGCAAACAGCACCCATGCTATGGCCACCCTGCTCTTTGCGGGAGTTTGTATTTCAAGATATCTGTTGAAAATGAAAAGGTGAACACTGCTGCTCTGGATACTTACAGAAGGCAGAAGTGGCTCAGATTTAACAGTGACGTGATCAGCTGCTGTTCTTGGTGTGACCTTCTCCAAACTGGCCTCTTCTGATCGGGGTTTCTCCTTTTCAACGCCTCTGGCCTCCTCTTTGCTGGACAGGGCATGCTGGTTACTCCCCGGCTGTGCTTTATCGAGGGGGGCAGGGCTGGCTGGCATTGCAACCTTTGCACCACCCACTGCACCTTAAAAATGGCCAACAAGAGTTTCCGTTTAGCAGCCGGTTTAGACATCTACAAAAAGCTTTACTTTGAAGAAGTTTACTTCAAAATCAGGTGGTTATAAAAAAAAAAAAAAAATTGCATGATTCACAACGCTACATATATTTTAATTGGAAAAAACAACCCTAAACATGCAGGTTTAGTAGTAATATAATGAACGTCAACACAACATAAAAGCATCTTTAAATCAGGTCAGTGAAGCGTTACGGAGATGTAACTTTTAATCCTTGCATGGCAGTGTTAATTCAAAGTCATTCCTGAAGAATTGTTATTCTGATGTCACAGTAGTGGGATGTCCCAGTAAACACAGTTATTTCGAAGTCTTGTGAGGTCATTGGCGGTTTGATATGACCGTAAACGTCGAGAATACAGTAGGAATTAAACTATTTTGACTAGGGATGCACCGAAATTTCGGCCACTGAAACATATCGGCCGAAAATGGCACTTTTGGCAAAATGGGGAAAGCGCTATCTTTCGGCCCAAAATAGCGGTGCGTCCTATTCTCTCCTCCCCACTGGGCGCTGAGAAACTGTCACAGGAAGCCGAGTGAAGCGGGGGACGAGAGCGCTGTGAGCGGCTGGCGTCTCTTCTCCCGCACCTCTCAGCCTCCTGTGACAGACTAGTAGAGCGGCGGTGTGGGATAGCTGCCTCCGCCCCCACACTGCTGCTCTCCTGGTCTGTCACAGGAGGCTGAGCTCTCCCCTGCAACTCCCTGCTCAGCCTCCTGTGACAGATGAGAGCGGCAGTGTGGAGGCAGCTGTCAATGGAGGTCAGGCCGGTAGTGCGGGGGAGGAGTCAGCTGTCAGGAGATTGAGCTCTCCTCCCGGTCCTCCTGTGACAGCGAGTCAGGATATTGAGCGGTACAATCACTTGGTGATCAGTGATCGCTGAGTGCTTGTAAATAATTGGAGGACAGAGTGTGTTTAGTGTGTCCCCAATTATGAATGCATGGGAAGTATCTACATCACTTCCTGTTCATTCATGATTGTGGATATAGTAAACATACTATGTCCACAAGTTATGAACAAACAGGAACACTCAGTATAGAGGATTCCTGTTCAGTTATAACAGATGCTGCAGAATAAGAGATTGTGGACTGTGTTCTCATTCCCTTTTTCTATTTTAAAAAGGGAAATATCAGGGATCTGTTTAGACCCCTAAAATATTTCCCCAAAGCCCCCACCCCCCCACCCCAACAGTAAAGTAAAAAATAAAAAAATAAAAGTTTACAAAAAATAAAACATCTGATGACAAAGTCACACGCTGCGGCCGCCGTGCCCACGGCACAGGCCGCATAAGCCACGCCCATCGCACGCTGAAGCCGCGCACGCCGCAATCTCCCTCATCCGTCGCTGGCCCGCTGACAAACGAGGGCCCACCTTCTGAAAGCAAGTCAGTGGTGGAATAGGTGTACGGAGCTGCAGTGTGGAACAGGTGTGCGGGGATATAGTGGTGGACCAGGTGTGTGGGACAATGTACTATATTGCACACCACACTTTGTTTTTACTTCCACCGCGCCAAGCTTGCTCCTGTGATGGACTACAATCTCAATACAAACTAGTAGTCCATCACTGGAGCCTTTTTTTTATTTATCCGATTAATCGAACTTAATAAATCGGCCAACTAATCGATTATGAAAATAATCGTTAGCTGCAGCCCTACACTGCAGTGTCAAGATTGGTGATGTAAAGCCACAGCAAGTCATGTAGTGCCTACAGTATGGTTATGCACTATAGTGACATCAGTTTCATGAAAGTCAGTATTGTGATGCCACCATCACTGTTAAGGTGTTATAGCATGCATTGCCATGTCACAATTGTCATTCGTAAAGCAGAACTCAGAGGGGAAAATGGAAAAAAAAGGGCTACCCCTGCACAACAAGGGTAACTGCTCATTTTTGTCGTCTAGCCACTAAAATAAGAAAAAAAAGTTATACTCACCCGAACCTCGGGGCGGGCTGGCTGTCACTGTGTGCCCTCCCTTCAGCCTCTTTCCTTCTACTCTGCAGCGGAGGTATGTCCCTCTGTGTCCTCACGTCCAATACACAGTGTATTAGACATGATGACTCAAGGAACTCCTTAGACCGCTGCAGCAGAGGGGGAGAGACACTGGAAAGTCTGGTCTAACAGCAAGCCGACTCAGGATCAGACGAATATAACTATTTTAGTCCCTAGACGAAATGATATCATGAAGCCAATCCTAATATAAAGGCCATAGTATATAAAAAGGTGGAATTCAGGGTGCAGACCTTGTGTGGTTGGAGCCTCCAGACCTCCCCATCTCTGGCACTGTTTCTTCTGCAGGGAGATATCAATTCGAGAGCCTGTGAAGTTGAACCTGCACAAATCTGGCTCTATAAGGTTCCTAAAATAAAGAAGACAATTGTTCGCCTGCATCCACCTTCGAGCAGAACCAGAAACATATTAGAACACACCGACGACTCACCTGAGCTTCACTTGCCATCTGAAGACTGGGTCAGGACCACAACCGGGATGAAGCCTCAGAAAGTTAGGATCACTACCAACACAACAATAATTAATATTTCCTTCAGGTCTCAAAACATAAGAGATTATTCTTGCAATGTAGCGCAGTAATTCAATATCCTAATGCAGCAAGTAAAAATTCACAAAAACGTAACACACATAATTTGCCCTACAATAAATAAGGGCCTGTTCACACTACATAGCATTGTGATAACCCATGTGCCGTAACAAACTTTATCATGCATTGCAGCAGGATGAGTTACTAAAGCCCATCGATTTTGTGGGATGCTGGGGAGGGAAGGGAACGATGTTTGTCACTACTGCTCTATTTCTGTGGTGCTTCAGAGTGTGCTGCATTGGGGGGCCATTAAAAAGTAATGGCATGGCAACACATCCAACCATGTTTAGTGGTGATGGTGCGACCGGGCCATTAAAGAAGTAAAAATCTGTCATTTACGTAGATTAGGAAAGTCAATGTTTTAAGTATACATGTGCTATTCTTATAATTCCATACATTATTGCATTCTCTTTAGTTTGCGCTTTACATGGACTGCCTTATAGGGAATTTACACCTCCATGGTTCCATGCCAGGATTCCACTGCCCTAAAAAAAGCTAACAGTTCCAAAAGGAAAGAACTTAAAAGGGTAATTCCACTTTCCCAGGAGAATTTAGTAAAATGGAATTACGCTCTCCAATCTGGCCCCCTTTCTCACAGTCAGGTAAATGCGCTGACCAATGAGTGCTTGCCATTTGCGCTGCTGTGTACAGAGTATGGGTAGTTCACTGGCAGGAGGGGAAGCAGCGTTCAGGTAAGGACGGGGGGAGTGAAGGAGAAGGGACCAGATTGGAGGGAGTAATTCTATTTTCCCTAAATTCACCTGGGAAAGTGGAATTAGCCTTTAAGTCTTTTCTACAAACTATACTGTATATCAGCAGATGCAAGCACGGTGCCTGAACTACACGCACAATGCAAAATGTATTCCATTGAAAAGAGAACTATGGGGTAACCTTTTCTTCCCCATAGTTCTCTTTAGGGTGACAGGAGGGCATATACGAACGTCCTCTCATGACCCAAAACTTAGTATATAACAGGTTATTGCCCGCTATATACTGAGAGCACCGCAGACGGGCTGGATCCCGACAATACTGTCTAGATCCACCCTGCTGGCTGATTGACAGCGGGCACTGCCTATCTAGAGAGAGAGCCAGCTATGCTTGCCCTCTTCCCCTGTCCATTCCTCCAGTCAGCGCTAGAGGATCGGAGAGAGGAGGGGGGAATCCTTTCAGGGAGCGGTGATTGACAGTCACCACTCTCTGCAGGGAGATGATCGGCAGTGTGTGTTCGCTGACTTCCCGATCAATAGAGCCGACCTGTGACAGCTTCTTTGTCACAGGGTCGGCTTGAATTATGTGTTTCTTCACTCACCCCATAAATCTCCTTTAACATCACAAAGCTTGCAATGCAGAGGCTGACAATCAGTTCATGCAGTAGCTTCTACAATAAGCGGAACCCCATTGGTGTGTTGTGAGCTAAGGAAACTTACCTAGTCTTAAAGATCAGAGTGAAATCCTGCTCCCGAAACAGCACACGAGAGGTCTCCTTGCAGATCTGCTTGACATAAACATGCACGACAACCACGTCGTTCCCCTTCTCGTAGTGATCATTCTTTACGAAGGTCAGGTTCACGTACGGCTCAGCTTCTAGAAAACAAGGAGACAATATAATAACTCCTCTGCCACTGCAAAATACACAGAGCTTTATTATGCAGGCCTCGTCACTTCCTGTTTGGTAAAAAAGCGTATATCCAGGACAGGATGTGAGGGGAAATCTCCCAGGCAGTCCCACAGACAAAAGTGGGGGAATGACAGACCCTCAATCTTTGCTGGCAGCAAAAATATACCCATACTTGTCTACACACCAGCATAATGGTCACTGCTTTATACATACTCTATGCCCCATAGTGTATTTAACTACCTCCCGGCCAGCCGCTGTGTATACACGGCCTGCCGGGAGCTTCTTGGATGTAACTGGGCGTGTATACACGTCCTGTTACATACTTGCATGTAAACATGCGTAAGGTGCGCATACCTGCGAAAACGACGATTGCACCCATTACGCCACACATGTTACATATCGCCGCGAACGTCGGAATGAGAGCAATAGTTCTAGGGCCATCAATCACTGATAACACTAAACTGATGAGCGGTAAAAGCTTTTAAAGCGTCGCCTATGGCCAATTTTGGGTATGCTAGTTTTTTGCGATTTTGCGAGTGCGCGCAATTTTGACGCTTGACATGTTTGGTGTCTATTTACCCGACGTGACCCCGTCTTTTATATTTTACCTAAAAAGTGGGTAATATTAGCTGTTTTATAGCATAAAGTAAAAAAAAAAAAAACGTTTTTTTCTCCATTTTCAGTAATTTCTCCTGAATATAGTAAAAAATAAAACCCGCAGTGGTGATTAAATACCACCAAAATAAAGCTCTATCTGTCCCCAAAAAATGGTATAAAATTCATTTCAGTACAGCGTTGCATGACGGAATAAATGTCAGTCAAAGTACTGCAGCGCTGAACACTGAAAAATGGCCTGGCCAGGTAGGGGATCTAAACACCTGGTCTTCAAGCGGTTAAACAGAAGACAAAGATTTAATGGTTATATTAAAATAAACAAAGTTTTACAAAATGACAAGTCAACACATCCCCACCTATGTATGGCTCAAAGTGTTCATTTTGCTCTAGAAAAACCACAAACCCCACAGCTTGGTTATTCAGCAATCTTAAGTTACACACTTACTTTGCTCATTTGTCTGGAACCGGTTCATGCAGGGGGACGAGGATAATTCACACTCAGTTTCCACGGATATTAGGTCTGCTTCATTAGGAGATGGATCTATAATTACAAAGAAATCATCACTAAAGCTGAGGTTTACTTTGCACCTCCCACTCCCAACCTCATCAACGTGCAAAATGGAGTTTTAAAATAAAAGCTTTCCTTTTTTTTATTGCAGCCCTGATTTCAGACCCAGTAATCTCATCACCAGGTCTATGTGCTTCACTTTGCAATGCAGGCAGATCATGGATGGTGGGAGGGGCCGGCAGAGGGCTGTACCTAGCTTACAGAAAACATCACAGCACCCTATCTTAATACTCCTCCTCACCTAACTGAAATCAAATGGACTCACTGACAGAGGTAGGACAGGCTGCGGGTTAACAGCTGTATGATACCTCCAGTCCGGAAATGACTTGCTGCAGCTTCTAATGCACATTGTGAGCAGCTCGCAGTGTGCAGTGAAATCAGAGGCAATTTCAATCCAGGAGAGGAGCCGGTGCAACCGTGCAAGATTGAAGGGAAGGTCAGAGTTCAGTTTCAAATGATTACATGTTCGGTTGAGTTATCAAGTTTTGTATTTTTATGTTTTTCTAGGAAGACAATGTGAACACACTGGAAACATGTTGACTTGTCTGTGGCCCTAGAATGATTGCTCTCACTCTGGCACACACGGCGATACCAAAACATGTGTAGCGCAATTGAAATTTTCATACGTAGGCTTCATTCAGTGGGAAGGCCATTGGTGAACAGATGTTTGCCATTCTCTTTCCCTTCTTAGACGCTGACACACGTGATGAGGGCCCCGGGCCCAAAAGGAGGTGCAGCGGAACCTGGGAAGCAAAGCGGGGGGTGGGCACACTTCACCGGCCCCTGGAAGCGATCTGGCTCAGCTGCCAGAATCACCTCCGGTCTAAAGCTGACCATTGGCTTTACACAGCTGAACAGAGTCCTGGGGGGGCCCGCTGCCAGCGATGTATGCCTTACGTCACTGGCAGCAATGGGCTTTAAAAAAGGTCCTGAAAATAATATTGTATTAGTCAATGAAAATAATGACATGACAGGAAGAAAGCATGGAAAGAAAAAAGCAAGCATGGAAAGAAAAAAGCAAGCATGGAAAGAAAAAAGCAAGCATGGAAAGAAAAAAGCAAGCATGGAAAGAAAAAAGCAAGCATGGAAAGAAAAAAGCAAGCATGGAAAGAAAAAAGCAAGCATGGAAAGAAAAAAGCAAGCATGGAAAGAAAAAAGAAAGCATGGAAAGAAAAAAGAAAGCATGGAAAGAAAAAAGCATGGAAAGAAAAAGAAAGCAAGTTGGCTATGCAAATGAAGAATGGGAAGCAGAACCATATATGACCAATATGTGCCATATAATGACAACAATAAAAAGGAACACATTGTGAAAGTAAATAGGAACTTCCTCTTGTATTCAAAATCTTAAATCACTTAAAGCACATTATAAAGTCTGTTATTCACATATCATGAAACGAGCTGCTTCTCTGGGTTTTCTACAGAATATAAACCACAACAATGTGCCAGAAGACACCATCGACCTATATTTGGCTCGCACACATAATACGTAAAGCCGGTCGTCTTTAACATCTCGTAGTACACGGATAAGCAATTGGCTTCCATTACCTTCACAGCAGAGGCTCGGATTGTTGGTCGAGGGACAAGTCATAATCCGAAAAGTTACCAGAAAGGGTCACACAGGGGAAATGGGGGATCCCTCCTACTAAAACCACCCTACGCGGCAAGCTAAAACCGTGCCAGACTACAGAAACAAGTCCAATCAATTTTGGAGAAAAAGGAAAGAAATAAACACACGAGTTCCTGTTGCCGTCTCCAAGAAGGCCACGCAGCTGGTAATATAATCAGAAAGGATGACTGGCTGGGGGCTGGGATAACATAACCTTTTCTCACAAGCCAGAGCTGCAGCGTGACAAGGTTCAGACCGGAGATAAGGATGACAGGGGGCAGCCAACTATGCCAATCGAAGGAGGCAGTCAGCCTGCGGTGGAACTACAAGTCCCGAAAAGGCCAGGGCAGATGTGACAAGGAACAAATCAGGGGACATCCCCCATGTCACTGGGTTTAACATGAGGGTTGGCACCAAAAGGGTGAGAGGGCCTGACAACTGAAGACTGAAAAGTCTACCTTTTCCTGGAGGAAATGTTGCTTTGGGGTCCCTTGTGTTCTAGTCATGTGACCAAAAGCTGAGGCATTTTGCAATTGCTGATAAAGGAGAGGATCTTGTATTACACCGGCTGCAGAGACACTACATTGCCTAAGGTAGGGCAGGGGTGGACAGGTTTATATGGAATTCAGGGACCAGTCAGTCCAATCCATTTTTTTAGGAGGAAGCGCCGCTGACAACTTAAAAAGTTAGGCCCCAGCTGTAATTTTTAACCTCTTGCCGTCCGCCCGTAGTAGAAAAACGGACGGACGGCACTGCTGCATCTGCGGGTTGCCGTCTCTAGACGGCAATTTTTTTCTGCTCGCGCGCGCCCCCTAGCGGGCACGCACGGGCAGAAAAGACCCGACAATGCACACACCCGGTACCGGGTGTCACACATATAGGCGATCAGCGGGTCCATAGCCCGCCGATCGCCTATATGTGCTCGTTCGCAATCGCTTGATTCCCGGGATCCGCTGCCCCATCTTGGATCCCGGGACCGGCTCCGAGGGCGTCAGGAGGAGGAGGACGGGAGATCAGCTCCTTGCTGATCCCCGTCCGGGCTGTGAATGCAGAAGTGATGTGTGTTACATCACTTCCGCATTCACCTGTCAGTCATCTGGAGAGAGAAGAAGCTGATAAAGCAGATCTCTGCTTTATCAGCTTCTTTTGGGGTCCATAGGTGATATTAGGGGTCCTAGAGACCCCTAATATCTCCATAAAGAGGACCTGTCAGTGTGCCTTTGCTATTATATAGGGGGTTGTTATCCCACTATATAATATCCCCCTATAAGTGCAAAAAAAAAAAATATATAAATAAAAAAAAGAAAAAGTAACACATAACCCCAGTGGTGAATAAATACCACCAAAAGAAAGCTCTATCTGTCCCCAAAAAAGGGTATAAAATTCATTTCAGTACAGCGCTGCATGACGGAATAAATGTCAGTTAAAGTACCGCAGCGCTGAATACTGAAAAATGGCCTGGATGGGAAGGGGGTTTAACACCGCGGATGTCAACTGGTTAAGGAGTATTGGTCAGATCAGAGGGGAGTAGGTGCAGCATTTTTGTTCTCCAGGAATTGCAATGTGGGCCTTTTTGCACCCCTTTATGCTCCTGAACCAGAACGATCATTAACATGTCTTTAAAATTAACTTATCACCCATTATAAAAATCTTGCTTAAAAACTGAACTCCAGGTACAAAAACTTTAAAGCATATACTGTGTATGTTCCTTAAAAACCACAAGGGATATATATCCACTTGTGTACACCAAATGTTTCTGCAAACTCAGTAATAACCTTCTAAAAGCAGCAGTGACAAATCACTGTGTAGTTCATAGCCTGTGCAGAGTTGTGGGAGAGACCCAACAGGCTACAACCACTACAGAAGGGGGGAGGAGACAAGACAAGTCACCCTGCACAAGGAGAGAGAGGAGCAGTGAGAGGTCTTATTACAGGAGAGGGCGGAGACAAGACCAGTCACCCTGCACAAGGAGAGAGAGGAGCAGTGAGAGGTCTTATTACAGGAGAGGGCGGAGACAAGACCAGTCACCCTGCACAAGGAGAGAGAGGAGCAGTGAGAGGTCTTTATTACAAGAGGGGGCGGAGACAAGACCAGTCACCCTGCACAAGGAGAGAGCGCAGCAGTGACCGGTCTTTATTACAGGAAGCTAATAATTTAACATTGGATTACTGCACAGATCTGGAAGAAATACACAAAGCTTCACACCGTTCCAAAATGCATAAACATTTTAAGCATATGCCACATATGGCCAGAATTAGGCTAAAAAGGGACAAAAGACAGAAGACTTTACAGACTAGACGGGTACAATACAAAAGGTGGAAAAGCTTTCATTTTTTTCTAATTTCTTAAACTTGCCACACAAAGCAATCTAAAGTCACAATCCACTTTATATTTACCAACAAAGCAAGATAAGCAACCTGGTCTGCTTCAGTATCTCAGGCCCCTTTCACTCGGGTCCGCCTGTCAGTTTCAGGTGGACCCGATTGGATGCTCAATGTTAGTCTATGGGCAGCCTGGTCTAAAAATGGACAGGTGTCAGTCTACACCCAGCTACCCCCAACTCCCGAAAAACAAACAGAACAGTGTTCCCTTTCGACGGACCCGATTGTGCCGGATTGGGGGAAATCTGATGTAAACGGTCACATTTACAGCAAATTCCCTATAGAGCGACAGAGTCCGGTTTCTTCAGTTTTTTAATCCATCCCAAGATGGAGGAGAAACTGGACAGCGGTGACATCCGATCTGCACCGCTCCGATCTCCCCCTGATCAGACGACGCGAAAGGGGCAAGCCTCCTAATTGACTGTTAAAAGTAGACAGCAATCATTAAGAGGCGCAGATGGATGGTTACAAACTGGCTACGTATGGTTTGGGGCAGGGGTGAGGAACCTCTGGCCCGCCAGCTGTGGTGGAACTACAAATCCCATGGGGCATGGCAAGATTCTCACAGCCACGACTCCGAGACACATGAATCATGGGATTTGTAGTTTCACCACAGCTGGAGGGCCAGGGGGGTTATATACATGGGTATGCTTGTTAAATCGCAGCTCACAATGCATTCGTTCAAATGCAAAACTCAACAAAAGGCCCGTTTTGCCCGCTATGCAAACGCATCTTTCACAGTGGTTTACGGTCAGGATTTCTGTCTTGCAGCACTGGGGTCTTCTGTTTGAATGCCAACTAGGACACTGGCTGCATGGAGTTTGCGTGTTCTACCTGTGCTTGCGTGGGTTTCCTCTGGGGACTCTATTTTCCTTCCATACTCTAAAAGACATGCTGGAAGGTTAATTGGCTCCTGCGAGATAGAGACCTTAAATTGTAGCTCCTTGAAGGCAAACACTGATGTGAATGTAAAGTATGTGAAGCGCTGCGTAAATTGCTTGTGCTATATAAATGGCTATAAGAAATGTAAAAGACCTCAATAAAATCTGCAGCATCCGATCTATGATGTGAGCTTCAAACTATGGATGCACCAATGCCGGTTTTTCAATATCGAGTACGAGTACTGAGATTTGTATTTCGGTACTTGCCGATACAGAGCACAGCTATCGGTACTTCCGGTAGCATGATGCCGGCTTCCCAGGTAATCAGGAAGCCGGGCAGTGTATCTTTATTACCTGCTGCCCAGCTTCTTGATTGCCCAGGAAGCCGGCTGCATGCCGATTGGCTGGGATGCTGGTTTCCCGGCCAATCAGCAGGAAACCGGCCAAACATCATGAAGCCGGCTCCATGCCGTTTGGCTGGCTCCATGCCGTTTTGGTCGGGAAACCAGCATCCCAGCCAATCAGCAGGAAACCGGCCAAACATCATGAAGCCGGCTCCATGCCGTTTGGCTGGCTCCATGCCGTTTTGGTCGGGAAACCAGCATCCCAGCCAATCAGCAGGAAAACGGCCAAACATCATGAAGACGGCTCCTCTAAACTTGGTAGAATTAGTTACTATGATGGAGTATCATTTAGGAACCAGAACAGGAGGCAAACATTCCCAAACTGAAACCAATGTTGAAAGCCATCAGGAAAGATGCTGCAGGACTGGACATTTACCTTCTCCACCATCTTCCAGGCTGTGGGCCATGTTAGGAACCATCAGGTTTTCATGTGCTTGCCCCAAAACCAGGAGGTCATCTTGTGTTGCTGGAATTACTGGGGAATCCACAACCTTTTCCTCCTCATAAAGGAAAGTGTGGGGTTTTGGGACTTCCTGCTGACATTCCAAGACTTGCTCTGAAACAGCCGCGGCTAACTCTTTAGAGGGATCAGTCACTTCTGAAGCCGTGTTCTCCTCTATCCTGCTGCTTGGTGTGGAGGAGCACCCAGGCTGTACCAACGGAGAGGCCGAAGGAGTCGCCAGCTGCACATCAGGAAGAGGAATCATCTCTTGGTCATGTGTAGCAGCCTTAAGAAAAAAAAAAAAATCCAATCAAAAATAAAATCACATAGGATAATGTACAGTTTATGTTAATATGTGTATTTATACCAACAAAATATTACAGATACAATTAAGGCCCCGTTCACACCAGGGCGGTTCAGCCGCAGGGATCCGCCGACATGAACAATCCCATACATTGCTACCGGGACCGTACATGCGACCGCGTGGCTCCGCTCGATCCGAACCACCCGAATTGCTCCCTGACCCTTTTTTGCCGCGCTGATCAGTGCAGTTTCCATACTGCTTATAATGGAACCATGCTGATCAGTGCGGTTTTGGACGTTTTTTATTGCGTTTCAGCGCTGAACACCCAAAACCGCCCTTTTAAAATCTGCACGGAAACCGCACTGATCCGCAACCACCCTGGTGTATACAAGGCCAGTATAAGCACATGCGATTGAAAGCCTCTGACCAAAAGGGAGGTTTAGGAAACAGGAGTGACAGGGTCAAGTTCAACATTGAGATCTGCATAGAACTTCTACTGATCATTTTGACCTGCAGTTGACTGTATCCTGTTTATGTGTTTTTTTCATTTTGTTTAGTCTGAATTCTCTGGTTTTGCAAGCAGCTTACTTAAATTAGGGATGCACCGATACTAGTATCGGTACTGATACCAAGTATTTGGGTGAGTACTCGTATTCGCCTGCATTCAGAGACGATGGGCATTGAAACACTTCAAGTTGTGAAATGCTCAGTTTCCCCTTTAAACTTGCGAAATTATTTTAAGACGGTGGGAAAGTGACCACGAGAGAATGACGCGTTACTATTTTTAGATGCGGCTCCACTTTACATTTGGTAACCAGACCCAGATGGACAATATGCAGCCGAGTCATTTTTAGAAACAGAATCATCGAGTCGCAGAATCCTCGCTAATCTCACAATCTTCTCCAGTAAACATTTACTATTTGCCAAGGGTGCCGCAGACTTTTCATTGCAGCACACCGGACAGATTACAACTCCTGTACTCGCTGCTTGCTACCAGAAGACAGAAGGGAGGCTCAAAGAACACTGAGCCTCATATAAAGAGAGAGTCCTCTGTCACTAATAACTATGCACATTCTTACTTTTGTTTACAAATGAACATTTAAAAAGGTGAAAATTTACATGTTTGTGTCAGTTGATACCAGAGGGAGAGAGATACCAGAGGGAGAGAGATACCAGAGGGAGAGAGATACCAGAGGGAGAGAGATACCAGAGGGAGAGAGATACCAGAGGGAGAGAGATACCAGAGGGAGAGAGATACCAGAGGGAGAGAGATACCAGAGGGAGAGAGATACCAGAGGGAGAGAGATACCAGAGGGAGAGAGATACCAGAGGGAGAGAGATACCAGAGGGAGAGAGATACCAGAGGGAGAGAGATACCAGAGTAATAAAGCCCGACGCAAAAACTTTGTGGCGACTTGTGGACTGGACATAGCAAAGGCCATCATTTAAAAAGGCCAAGACTGAAAGAAGAACTCCGGGCAGAAACCAAATTAACCCTTACAGTGGGGCTACCCCTGCACTGCAAAGGTTTACTGCCCGTTTTGTCTAGGGAGCCAAAATATCAAAGATATCCTCCACCCGAACCTCGATCCCACCTGGCTACGAGACCAGTCCACGCCTCCTCTATTCTCCTATGCAGCAGTGGATTGTCCCTCGGCATCCTCACATCCAATACACTGTATTGGATATGATGACTCGCAGGTCCTTATACCACAGAGGTGGTGGGGGAGGGAGGCTGGAGGGAACAGTCTAGCAACCAGGCAGGATCGAGTTTTGGGTGAGTATATGTTATTTTAGCTCCATAGACAACCCTTGCAGTGCCGGGATTGTTTCTGCTCAGAGTTAATTTGCCAGGACTGTATAGCTTGCATAGTCAGCTCCATCATTTGTAATGTCAGGACTGTATAGCTGGCCATACACTGTTCTATTTTTTTCGTTCGGACTACAAACTTATAGCTTGCATAGTCAGCCCCATCGACTGTATAGCATGCATAGTTAGTCTCATCGACGGAGGTGAGGCAAACATACACCCCAACTTTTTTCTATACAGGTGATTTGTGAAGAGGGAGGCGGCCATGTGCAAGCATGAAAGAAAAAAAAGAAACTAAAAATCAGACCGCCAGGGAGGTTAAAGTCCAACTTCAGCCTAAACTTTACTTTTTTCTTTTAGCATTGGACAGACTTTGGAAAAGCAAATATTCTCAAAGGGGCTTTTTTATTTTTATTTGTCCATGGCCCTACTGGGGAGATTGCACCTGATGTCCTGTCCCCGTGACAGCAAGACAAGAAATGAGGACAGCAGTTGTCACTGGGACAGGAAGATGGGATTATTGTTACATTATTATTACTGTGTAACTTTCCCATTTTACTAAAAAAAAAAAGTGTTCTGTTGCAGTCTGTCTTTCTTGGAGAACATTTCCCATTTCTGTTGCCATCTGTCCTGTACAGACAGGAATAGAGTAAAAATTCCCCAATGATGACAGACTATGAATAGGCTGACAAAAGTTCTGTCCTTTCCCACCATGTGCACAACTAGAACAAACTACTTTAATAAGGTTCAGTTACATAAAGGAGACCCCTACAGTCCTTACCTGGTCTCCTGTAGCCTTCGCAGTATCTCTTACGGGACTTGTCTTTTTTACTGGTGCTAAGCTTTCCCTGGTCTGAGTCCGGTCAGTAAGTTTGCCCGACCCTTTACCGTTCACACACTTTGTAGAATCCTCCGAGCAGAGAGTTCGGTGGCTGCGAGGGCTGGCATCTCCTGCAGAGACGGGTTTATGGGGCGAGCCTTTCCTAACCTGCGGCCCACTTGGTGTGGCTGAACTAGCATCGGTTTTCCTTGCGACATGGCCCTTCCCTCCGACGGGGACTACCACCGTTTCCTGACTGCGTTTAGCGCTCTTCTGCTCAGATTTGATCTTTTTCCTCTCAGAGTTTCCAGCAGGTTGAGTCTGGTTTTTATCAGATGTGGATACTTTTGAAGATGCTTTCGCTTTGCCGTTTTCTTTTATTGTAGTCGGCTTCCCTTGCTCTTTAACCACATCTTTCTTCTTCTTCTAAAAAAGAATAAAGTAGTAACATATCAACCTGTTTTTAAACCGGCTGTACACCCAACAAAAAACCAAAACAGTAACACCTTCTTAGTTTTTATAATCTCTGTGCACTTTGTTAATTACAACTTACTGTAGGACACAATACTCCTAGCTGCTCACATCAGCACTGCTTGGGGGCAGCAGGTGACAATACTTCAGCTTTTCCTTCCCTCCATCCAGAGGCGTCCCGAGGCCGAGTGTCACCCAGAGCGGAGACCGGGTGTCACCAGGCATGCATGTGACGTAATCGCACATGCTTGACAACTGCCGGCAGCCATCTTTGTGATTGACGCCGGCAGAGAGAGGAGGACGTTCACCCGGCGGGATGAGGTATGCCGCCGGGTACTCTCCTCTCTCCTGACACTGTCGGGCTCTCGGTCCATGATCGAGTGCCCAACCTTTTAGAGCGGATGACACCAAAATGACTGTCAGTCATTTTGGTGTCACCCTCCAATGGTGTCACCCAGGTGCGGCCGCACCCCCCTTAGGACGCCACTGCCTCCATCCCCACCAGGCCATGCAGAGAGCACTAGAGCTGCAAGTCAAGCATCTGATCCAGCCCGCAGGCGGCAACACGTGCATCGCAGAACAGATGCTTGAATGACAGCAACACTCCACTCTGCAAAGGCCTCTGCGAGAGATGGAGGGTGTGGAAAAAGCTCAAGAGAAGTCACCTGGACATGTGATGTGCTGCAACTTAGCCAACAGGCCCCTATGTAATGGCAAATATGATATGACAGGTCCTCTTTATGGAGACATCAGGGGTCTTTCAGACCCCCTAATGTCACCTAGGGACCCCAAAGAAGCGGATGAAGCAGATATGCCTCACCAGCTTCTTCTCCTGGCTCTAAGAGCTGGAGAATGTGCACCGTGTAGTGCACATCACTTCCAGGTCTAGTGATCGGAGGAAAGATCAGCAGCTGGAAGCTTGCCGATCTTCCTCTGATCTGTCAGAGGAGACCCGATGTGCCAGTCATGGGCCCGC